CTCAGGAACACCTATAGATGTGGCCATTGCCCATTTGGCCCCTGGATTCAGAAAGGTCCATGAATCCTACTAGCCAATGGCAACTGTTTTTATCCCAGGGCATTTGTAAACTGTACCATACAAGGGGTTATTTACTTAATTCAATGCCAATGTCATGCCACCACTCTGTGCCACCACTCCACCACTCTACCTGCCAACACATGGCTACAGTCACCCAGACAAAGCTGTCCCAAGGGTTGACCACCAGCTCATTCCCTCTACCTGGCTGCCAGTGAGAAAAGGAGTGGAGAGAGAAGGAAAGAGAGCCTGCCAGAGGACACCTTGACAGGGATGCAGCCACAGCTTTGGCAGGGGGGAGATCCATCTCACTGCTCAGGAAACAGGACATTGTGATTGGCTGCAGTGCAGCCAGGGAGAGAAAGAACTTGTCCATGGAGAGGGCAAAGACTGCTGGAAACTGTGGGGGATGTAGTCCCCAAGATACAGCCTCTATTAAGTGGAGAACTGTATGGGACTACATGTCCCAGCAGGATGTTGTGCTGCAGAAAGGAAGAAAAGGCCTTGGGGTAGTCTCACGTGGGGAATGGGAGATGACTGTTGAAAGGTGCGCTGAGTCGGAGACACTGCAGTTGCCAGAGCTCACTGCGGTGTCAAGGTGGGACTGTGTTACCACATTTGCACAGAGGCCACAGCCATCAGAGAGCTCCAGCAAGCTGGAGGAGAGGGCCTCCCTGGTTTCATGAGGAATTACTGCTGCAGTGTCCAGAGTGGCTGCCAAGTTCACAGATCCCAGATATCACAAAACACAAGGAGGCTTCATAACAGACTACATAGTGGTGAGAGGCCGATGGCCACAATTTCCCTAATCGCCTATTAAAGGGACAGTGACACTCTATTTTGGGACTTAGTTTGGATGCAGTGGGTAGAAATATACTACTCCAATTTAGGATGCTAGGACGTTTCAGCTTCCAGACCACCCTAGATATAAGATTCAGGTCCAGAATTACTTGGTCCTTGTTTTATTGTTTGTATTATATTGTACAAATGAGTTTATTTTATTATTGTTTAGTGCTGTTGACATTTTTTCCTTTTTTTTATTGTTGCCTTGTTGAGTTTTTAGCCCCCCAAAAATTCCCCTTCATCCGTCATGTGTCAGATGGTGTTGTATTGCTGGAAAGGTTGTTGTCATCTGGAATTAGGGTACACTGCTGTATTGTGGAAGATAGAGAAGTAAAACATATGGTTCCCCATAGTTGCCTGAAAGAGTACCTGATATTCCTCTTAACTTGGAGCAGCTGTATGGAACTGCATGGTAGAGAAGGAAGGGTAAGTAGGTGCTTCTGGTGGACCACTGTTAAAATAAAGATTTTACTTTGTATGCATGGGCAAAACACAGGTTCACTTAAGAGCATAGTTACATCATAGTTATAATCCTACACCCACAGTTGATCCAGAGGAAGGTGAAAAAACCCCCCAGCAAAGCATGATCTAATTCGCTCCTGCTGGGAAACCGCAGCTTGGCATTGCATGCCATTATTAAGCTTGTGATCTACCAGAACTCCCAGATCCTTCTCCACCATTGATTCCCCCAGTTGTAACCCCCCTAGCATGTATGATGCATGCATATTCTTAGCCCCCAAGTGCATAATCTTACATTTATCAACATTAAATCTCATTTGCCACATAGTCGCCCAATTAATCAGTGCATTGAGGTCAGCTTGTAAGTTGAAGACATCCTGTAAGGACATTATTCCACTGCACAGTTTGGTGTCATCTGCAAAGACTGCAATGGGATTTTTTATCTCAGACCCTATATTGTTTATAAATATATTAAAAAGTAAGGGTCCCAACACGATCTTTTAGCCAGTTTTCTATCCATTTACATATGGATTTTTCCAAGCTCGTAGACTTTACCTTACACATTAGCTGTGTGGGGAACTGTGTCAAACGCTTTTGCAAAATTCAAGTATACCACATCCACCACCACCCCTCTGTCCAAGGTTTTGCTCACCTCCTCATAAAAAGAAATAAGATTTGTTTGACAACTTCTGTCTTTCATGAATCCATGCTTTCTGTTGCTTAAAATATTTTTTTTCCAGCAAGAACTCATCTATGTGGTCTTTTAGTAAACTCTCCAGTATCTTCCCAACTATAGAAGTTAAACTAACAAGTCTAAAATTACTTGGTAAAGATTTTGACCCCTTCTTAAATATTGGCACCTGTCACGTGTGCCCACTGTCCCTGCTCGGTCCCCCCTCCTTCCCCCCTCGCCGCATCCTCTCATCCTGCACACAGCCTTTGAAGCAGGCTGTGAAGGATGGGGGGGGAGGGGACCCCTGCAGCGGGGATCACAGCCCCCCGGCAATCTAGCCGGAGGATCTGTGACCCTCCTGCCAGGAGACCCCGGCGGGAGGCCTCTGCACGCCCCCGATGGGCGCAGCGTGGGCACAGGGCTTCCCGCGCTCTGCGCCCACCAGTGACAAAGGCCACGCTCACGAGAGTGCAACCCGAGTCAAGGGGGTGTGCCTCGTTGCCCCGGCAACGTGGCACTGGGCCGACCGTTGCCGGAGCAAACCGGAAGCGTCCTGCGTGGCTTTAAAAGGCCGGCGCACGACTAGGCCGGTCTCTTCCTAGTGTGTGTCTGAGGTCCGCTGCTGCTAGACTCGCAAGCTGCTGGGAGGTCCGGGTGGGGACCGGGCCTCCGCAGCCATCCTCGTTGGGCACTCTGCAGGAGACCACCCCCCCTCAAAGGTCAGGACTTTGATCCACTGCCCCTCTGCTAATACTATGGGGCCCGGATTTCCCGCTTTGCTGTGTGCTAGTAGTGCTTCGCTGTGGGCCCCTGATACCCTGCCTAATACTCTAGGGCCCGGATTGCCCGCTGTGCTGTGTGCTAGAACTGCTTTGCTGGGGGCCCCACGATACCATGCCTAATACTCTGGGGCCCGGATTACCCGCTGTGCTGTGTGCTAGAACTGCTTTGCTGTGGGCCCCATGATACCCTGCCTAATACTCTGGGGCCCGGGTTATCCGCTCTGCTGTGTGCTGAGGAGGTTCACCCCCCCCCCTTTTTCTGTTGCCTGCTGTGAGCCAGGACATACCTGCCAGGGCTGTGGGGTGTCCGCAAGCCGCCTACCTCCCTGGAAGCTGCCTGCTGCTGAGCGTCCGCAAGCCGCCTACCTCCCTGGAAGCCGCCTGCTGATGAGCGTCTGCAAGCCGCCTACCACCCTGGAAGCCGCCTGCTGCTGAGCGTCTGCAAGCTGCCTATCGTGAGTGCCCTAGAAGCCATGAACTGCCCCTAATGTGTGCTCAGACTACTCTTGCCATGAACTGCCCCGATTGTGTGCTCAGACTACCCTTGCCATGAACTGCCCCTATTGTGTGCTCAGACTACTCTTGCCATGAACTGCCCCTATTATGTGATTAGACTACCCTTGTTTGCACTGCCCCATGGTGTGCCCAGAATTTAGCTACCTGGACTGCCCCCTGAGGGCTTGAGCGATCGCTACCCAAACTAGACCCCATAGTCAAGGTCCCGTTGAGTCCCCGTGAGCCCGCTGAGCCCGTGAGCCTGATGTTGTCCCTAGAAAGCTGTGTGGGAGCTGTGCTGCGGTCAGACCCCATAGCCAAGGTCCCGCTGAGTCCCCGTGAGCCTGATGTTGTCCCTAGAAAGCTGTGAGGGAGCTGTGCTGAGGTCAGACCCCATACCCAAGGTCCCGTTGAATCCCCGTGAGCCTGATTTTGTCCCTAGAGAGCTGTGTGGGGGGTTGTGCTGAGGTCAGACACCATAGCCAAGGTCCCTTTGAGTCACCGTGAGCCTGTTTGATCCCTGGCTTGTGACCCCGACCATTCTCTGCCCGACCCCCTGTACCTACCTGCCCGTTAGTGGCTGTACCCGGCTCGTGACCTGACTACTCTCTGCCTGCTCCTCCTGTTCCTACCTGCCCGATTGTTATTGACCCGGCCTGCCTGACTACGCTTGCATTGTATGTATTGTTATCTGTGGGTGGTTTGGTTTGGTTCGTTTGCACTTTGTTTATGTTTCAGTATTGCACTGCGTTTTGTATTGTTGGTATTAATAAATTATATTGTTTATAACATATCTGAAGCCTGCATTTCCCTGCGTCAGTTCACATACCTCTGGCCATACCCGGAGCCCTGACATTACACCAAGGCCAATCCTGACCAGAAGTGGCTGCACAGGGAAGCCATCTTGGCTTGTTGCTGGGAAGGATGGATCTTGATGAGGTTGTGTATTTGTCGCTGCTGGGTTTTTGATGACCGAGAATATGCTTATCAGACTCTGAGGGAGTATACCCGGGATCAACTGCTAGAATGTATACGGATCGCTCATGTTCTAGTAGATCAGGGCACAGAGTTTTCTGAGGTGCAACCTTTGATTCAGGTTTGTGTAGAGTTGGCTTCATCTGGTACCCCTGAAAGCAGGAATGACTTTTTGCCACCATTTAGTGCAGACCAGGTAGAGTCCCTGGTATGGTTATTAGAGGATGATGTGGATTGCTTCTTGGAGCATTATGCTGCATGTTCACCACAGGTATTAAGGGATTGTATAAACGCAGTGCAGTCTTTGACCAGACAGGCTTTGTGTAAGCTCAGCTTTGTTCAACCATACTGCAGACATGGTTAGACTTGTTACACCCAGCCTCAGTCAGCTTGCAACGTCATTCCTCTGCTCAAGGCACTCTTCCTGCATCCCCGACAGCACCCCCAGTGACGGCCCAGTATACTCTGCTAACTACCACATACCAGTCCCCTGCTCCCACTCGCTGCACCTATCCTTTCTTTGGCCCTGTGGAGAGTCCTCTGTGGCGGCTGCTCCCTCCTCTGTTCCATCTTCCAGCTCTTCTCTGTCCTCAGCTGCTCCATTCGTTTGCAGACCAGCGTTTACTTGCAGTGCTCCAGTAGTTAAAACCAGAAAAAAGCGAAAATTCTTTCCAACCAGTACCATCCTGCCAGTATCCAAACAGGTGAGCCTGCCGTCTGAGAACCTGCCTTCCGTGGTTCAGCCTGGTGCCTCGGCACCCGCACTTCAGCCTGATGTCTCTACCCCAGCCTGATGTCTGTACCCAGCCTGATGAACTGATCCAGCCTGATGATCCTATCACGCCTGATGACCCAGTGCCCGCTGTCATACCTGGTGACCCGATGCCCGCTGTCGAGCCAGACGATCCAATGCCTGATGACCCAGTGCCCGCTGTCATGCCTGGTGACCCGATGCCCGCTGTCGAGCCAGACGATCCGGTACCTGATGACCCGGTGCCCGCTGTCATACCTGGTGACCCGATGCCCGCTGTCGAGCCAGACGATCCAATGCCTGATGACCCAGTGCCCGCTGTCATGCCTGGTGACCCGATGCCCGCTGTTGAGCCAGACGATCCAATGCCTGATGACCCTGGTGCCCGCTGTCGATCCAGACGATCCGGTACCTGATGATGACCCAGTGCCCGCTGTCATGCCTGGTGACCCGATGCCCGCTGTCGAGCCAGACGATCCAACGCCAGATGACCCGGTGCCCGCCGTCGATCCAGACGATCCGGTACCTGATGACCCGGTGCCCGCTGTCATGCCTGGTGACCCGATGCCCACTGTCGAGCCAGACGATCCAATGCCTGATGACCCAGTGCCCGCTGTCATGCCTGGTGACCCGATGCCCCCGCTGTCGAGCCAAACGATCCAGCAGCAGATGACCCGGTGCCTGCTGTCGAGCCAGACGATCCGGTACCTGATGACCCGGTGCCCGCTGTCGTGCCAATTGACTCAGAGCCCACCGTCGTGCCTGGTGACTCGGTGGCCACTGCCTTGCCAGGTGACGCGGTGCCCGCTGTCGAGCCAAATGACCTGATGCCTGGTGACCCGATGCCCGCTGTCGAGCCAGAAGATCCAATGTCTGACCCAGTGCCTGCGGTCATGCCTGGTGACTCGGAGCCCACTGTCGTGCCTGGTGACTCGGTGCCCACTGCCTTGCCAGATGACGCGGTGCCCGCTGGAGAGCCGAATGACCTGATGCCTGGTGACCCAGTGCCCGCTGTCATAGCTGGTGACCCGATGCCCGCTGTCGAGCCAGACAGTCCAATGCCTGATGACCCAGTGCCCGCTGTCATGCCTGGTGACCCAATGCCCGCTGTTGAGCCAGACGATCCAATGCCTGATGACCCAGTGCCCGCTGTCATGCCTGGTGACCCGATGCCCGCTGTCGAGCCCAGACGATCCAGAGCCAGATGACCCGGTGCCTGCTGTCGAGCCAGACGATCCGGTACCTGATGACCCGGTGCCCGCTGTCGTGCCAATGGACTCAGAGCCCACTGTGTCGTGCCTGGTGACTCGGTGCCCACTGCCTTGCCAGATGACGCGGTGCCCGCTGTCGAGCCAAATGACCTGATGCCTGGTGACCCGATGCCCGCTGTCGAGCCAGACGATCCAATGCCTGACCCAGTGCCCGCAGTCATGCCAGTTGACTCGGAACCCACTGTCGTGCCTGGTGACTCGGTGCCCACTGCCTTGCCAGATGACGCGGTGCCCACTGGCTAGCCAAATGACCTAATGCCTGGTGACCCGATGCCCGATGTCGTGCCTGATGACCCGGTGCCTGCCGCTCCGCCTGGGGGCCCGGTGCCTGCCGCCCTTCCCAGGGGCCCGGCGCCCGCCGCTCCGCCTGGGGGCCCGGCGCCCGCCACTCCGCCTGGGGGCCCGGTGCCCGTCGCTCCGCCTGGGGGCCCGATGCCTGTCGCTCTGCCTGGGGGCCCGGTGCCTGCCGCCCCTCCTGGGGGCCCGGCGCTCGCCGCCGCTCCGCCTGGGGGCTCGGCGCCCGCCGCTCCGCCTGGGGGCCTGACGCCCGCCGCCCCACCCGGGGGGCCCGGCGCCCGCCGCCCCACCCGGGGGGGGGCCCCAGCCCGCCCGCCGCTCCGCCTGGGGGCCCGATGCCCGCCGCTCCGCCCGGGGGCCCGATGCCTGTCGCTCCGCCTGGGGGCCCGGTGCCTGTCGCTCCGCCTGGGGGCCCGGTGCCTGCTGCTCCGCCTGGGGGCCCGGTGCCTGCTGCTCCGCCTAGTGGCCCGGTGCCTGCTGCCCCGCCTGGGGGCCCGGTGCCTGCTGCCCCGCCTGGTGGCCGGTGCCTGCTGCCCCTGGTGGCCTGTGTGCTGCTCCGTCTGGGTGCCCGGTGCCTGCTGCTCCGCCTGGTGATCCGGTGCCTGCTGTTCCGCCTGGTGATCCTGGTGATCCAGCCCGATGTGTCCAGTGTCCAGCCCGATGTGCCTCTGCCCGGAGTCCAGCCGATGTGCCTCTGCCCGGAGTCCAGCCCGATGTGCCTTTGCCCGGAGTCCAGCCCGATGTGCCTCTGCCCGGAGTCCAGCCCGATGTGCCTCTGCCCAGAGTCCAGCCCGATGTGCCGCTGCCCGGAGTCCAGCCCGATGTGCCGCTGCCCGGAGTCCAGCCCGATGTGCCTCTGCCCGGAGTCCAGCCCGATGTGCCTCTGCCCGGAGTCCTGCCCGATGTGCCAGTCTTTGATATCCCGCCAGTTACCAGACCCGGGCGGTGGAACATTTTGCCCAGCTAGGACTGTTTGGAGCGTCCTGAGGCCGTTCCTTGGGGGGGGGGTACTGTCAGGAATGGACTTGCCAGTAATGGTGGGACTCACCTGTCTTGTGGGCTGCAGTACCAGGGCTGGCCAGCGGGTGCTCTCAGCAATCAGAGACTCAACCCTGCAGTCAGCCAAACACCTGAAGCTGATTACGGAGGTGTATTTGAAAGGGATGGCCAGACCTGCAGTCTGTGCCTTGGTGTGTGTTTTTTCCATGGGCCCCTGTATCTTGTTACCTGCATTCCTGTTCCTGTTCCTGCCTGACTGACTTGTTGCCGACCCTGCTTGATCCTGACCTCTGCTGACTTCTCCTGTTTGATCCCTGGCTTGTGACCCCGACCATTCTCTGCCCGACCCCCTGTACCTACCTGCCCGTTAGTTGCTGTACCCGGCTCGTGACCTGACTACTCTCTGCCTGCTCCTCCTGTTCCTACCTGCCCGATTGTTATTGACCCGGCCTGCCTGACTACGCTTGCATTGTATGTATTGTTATCTGTGGGTGGTTTGGTTTGGTTCGTTTGCACTTTGTTTATGTTTTAGTATTGCACTGCGTTTTGTATTGTTGGTATTAATAAATTATATTGTTTATAACATATCTGAAGCCTGCATTTCCCTGCGTCAGTTCACATACCTCTGGTCATACCCGGAGCCCTGACAACCAGTTTGTACTGTTCAACCAAGTTTACATTGAAGTTTAATATAAACCTCATATCAGTTTACTCTAATGTGTGTGCGGCTGTACATTTTGGTGTTAATTCACTCTGGTCAAAGGAACCTTCTGGTGTTAGCAGGGGTCAGAGAGGGGTCCAGAATAACAGGGAGCCCAAAAATAACTCAGCAACTCCTAAGGGGGTAGTGCTACATTTTATTATACAACATGGCTGTTAACATGCTGTTTGGATGGGGATATGCCACTCCCTGGGTCACGGCCTGTGTTTCCTATGCAGAAAGCCAACTCTGTATGATTTATCATTATTAGCCCTTTCAATTATTATTATTTTTATACAGGATTTTTTATAGCGCCAACAGTTTGTACAGCACTTTACAATATAAAGGGGGACCGTACAATTACAATACAGTTCAATACAGAAGGAATTAAATTTCAATAAACCAAAAAAACAAGAATGGCTCGTGTCATCAAACTGTAATGATAATTATTGTTCAGTTTTTACATAGTGGGAGATGACAAACCAATGTACAATACTGGATCTAGTAATTGTTTCCTTATCGTAAGAGTTTAAAAAATAAAGATTTTTCTTGTTTTGTTTTCTTCAGACTTTTGTGAACTCTTAATTAGAGCTCCAGGGATTTTATGGAATATGACACGCTGCCATATATGTAACGAATATTTTTTTTTTCTTGCTAAGAGAAATATATAAAAACAAGACAAAACAATAATCACTTACTGCTTTCCTTCCGAGTAACACCTGGACTGAAACTCAAAGTAAGTCATCTGGTAATGCTCATTTCCTCTTGCTCCATCATCTACTGGTTGTAATAATGTTTAGTTCAGTATATTAGTTAAGTCATCCTTAATGTTCGCTTAAAATATCATTTGCAATAAAAAACAATTGCCAATTAGTTACAATTGCTTATAGATTGCAATATGGCATTTTTTTATTTTATTAAATGGAAAAAGCTCAAGTGTTTCACATGGCATCTCAAACTATTTAAAGTGGTAATCCTGGCAAAACCAAAACTGACATACAGTATGTGATGAAGCTTGTCACTAGCATTAAAAAATTCAGTTTTTGTTATTCTGAGTCGCCCTGTAACAGATTTATTACCTGTTGATCCTGACAATAGACCTGTTATGTTTCCATTCTTTGTAACAGGCCTTGTTATCCAACAAAAATAACAATTAAGGGGTTTTCAAAAAACTATTTAACAATTGACAATGGTCAACTTTCTTTATGTGGCTTAGACCATTTAGACCATTTTCCAAAAAAGAAAGTCCTGTAAAACTCATTTAAAAATTACATGCCCATCTAAGACTACTCTGTCCACAGGGTGACAAAGCTGCTGCTTTTTCACTGCAGAATGGATCAATTGACAAGAATAACAGGTATTAAAGCTTTTTTTATGGGGTACTCTGAAAAAAAGAAAACTGCTCTGTTAATTCTAGTGAAAGATGACATCACATATGTATTTTTTACATTTTGCTCATACTTTTACTTTAAGGTGTGAGAATGGGCACATAGCCAAAGAAGTTCTTTAAACAGATTGAACAAGTTAAACTAATAAATTAATACAAGTAATTCAAGTCGTGTCAAATGTTTACAACAAGATCATAAAATAATTTCATAATTACATTTAAAATTTGAAACGTTAGTAAAAAAGGTAAACCTTTCAGATGCCAAAGTATCACTTTGGATTTATTTAGAGCATCAAATTTAGAATATTTTAAAATATGACCCTCACACATACTGTATGTACTTTTGGTTTTAATTTGTGGGGGAGTTTGTTGTATGCGGATTGAAATCCACAAAACCTGACTTTATCAGCTGATCCCACTAAAATAAATAGGAGGCAATTCTTGAGACTAATATTTGCTCATTTTAAGGTTAAAAAACAAGCTATTGTAAAAAAAAAAAAAAAAGCATAGGGAACTGCACACCACCATGGGGAATGTTACAAGTCTATGTTTAGCTAGAAACAAAAACAGAAAAATCAGCACAAGGAACAAAAATGACAGTTACAGTAGTATGCTGTATCCTTTGTTCTGATTCTTCCTTTTTCAGTAGAAATCTTTC